GGGGAGGTCTGGGATGGGGATGAACAAAGAACACAGGATCTGGACATTAGTTAGGGCTAGCCTGAGGGAGACATGGACTAGAGAATCACTTTGTCACGCAGTATCACAGAGGGTTTACCACATCAAGTCTGCCCTCCTGCTTAATACACTTCATTGACTCCTCGATGCCCAAACCACTTGAGTGGAGGGAGCATCAGCCTGACTCTTCCTGCTCTCCAAATGTGATTCTCAACCCATGGATTGTGACTCCTTTGGGGAGAACCCCTTTCATAGGGTGTGAATATCAGATATCCTGCATAGCAGATATTTACATTATGATTCGTAACTAGCAAAATTAGTTATAAAATAGCAACAAAAATATTTTTATGGTTGGGAGTCACTTCAACATGAGGACCTGTATTAAAGGGCTGCAGTATTAGGAAGGTTGAGAACCACTGTTGTAGACGCAACCTCGTTTCCCCACCTTACTTTCTGGAAATATTCGACCATGAAGACAGGCTCTGAAGAGCTTCTCTGCTTCAGCTTTCCCTGGGTTACCATGTTTTGGGATCCCAGATAGCAAGCACCTACAATTATAGCTACAATTGTGCTAAGTGCTTGACAGATAAGGAATTGTTGGTTCCTAACATTAACCCAGTAAACCTGGATTTACTGTCATTTTTATTTATTTATTTATTTATTTGGTTTTTCGAGACAGGGTTTCTCTGTGGTTTTGGAGCCTGGAACTAGCTCTGTAGACCAGGCTGGTCTCGAACTCACAGACATCCGCCTGCCTCTGCCTCCCGAGTGCTGGGATTAAAGGCGTGCGCCACCATCGCCCGGCTACTGTCATTTTTATGAAGGGATAAACAAACCACGAGGGCTGAAATGCTTCCAAAGGCCACTTAAGGGGATGTAGGACTTGAGCCTTTATTCAAAGCCTTCTCTGGTACCACAGCAGTTACTATACAATATAAGCTCCTTGAAGACAGGAACCAGGTTTCACTCACTTCTGATTTTGCAATTAGTCCAGAGTCTGGCATTGTGGGGTCACTCAGTGTTGGCAGACTAAATGGCATGGTAAGGTTGTAACAATCACATTTTGAGCAATAAAGATCACACTGATATAACACATACCCTAACATGATTTAATTAAAATGGTCCCTGCTGTAAAGAACTTTAGAAACAAGAAGTGAAGGTGTTATGACCTTAATCATCCATCTATTAGCAGACACTAAACTAATGACTCTGAGACAGTTTAAGGAAATTACTTTTTTAAAAAACTGAATGGGCAAGCCTTTATCTTCAAAGGTCATTGACATTTTTGCACTGAGAGTCTCTTCTGGCTTACAAAGACCTAGATAGCAGGGTTAGCCCTCATATCACTTCCTCCCACTGGCTACGGACGTGGTATAGACCTGAGCCACCAGGGGAAGGTTCTGAGGATAGGAACTACCTTGGCCTTCTGTGAGCCTCAAACAAAGGCCCTGGTACAGAGATCATTTTGAAGCTTGCTGAGTGAATTAAACACAAAGAAATGGTTTCAATAAAGATACTGACTGATCACCCGGCCAGTTTCTCAAGGGAACAGATTTACTCTGAGCAGTGGAAGAACCAGGTCTCTGGAGGCCCTTTCCACTAAACTGACTGTCCCAGGGTGCTGCAGAGAGCCAAGGGGGAGAGGATAGATAGAATGAGCTCACTACCGCCCACCCCATCTCCTGAGCAAGCCTCCTGGGTGCTAACACACAAACAGGCTACCAGATGAATGGCGTGAGACTACAATCAGCAGGTAGAAGGAATGCTAAAGCTGGCTTTGGCTACTCGGTGCAGCTCCTGTCACCCAGAAGAGACTGCACAAGAGGTGCTTCACATTCTGTTGTTGATGAGGCTCAAACAGGGAAGAAACCAGCTATAAGACACGAAGCAGGGGCAAAAGTGGGGTTGAACTCAAGTCAGTAAACTAGCTCTCACTGCCACCTTGGACTGCTTCTAGATTTTCAGAGGTGACCCGCCTCTACCTTACTACCATGCTTTGCCGGTAAGGCAGCACCTGTTTAAGCTTTTTTTTTTTTCCCTGTTTAAGCTTTATATCTTGAAGTAAAAGGGTCGGGGAATTTGGGTGAACAGGCCAGATTTAGTGAGCTAGAACAACTGAAAGGACTTTTGGGATCCCAAATAACTTAAGGGCTTGTATCGAAAAGTGTACAGGTTATGAAAATGAATAAAGAGGCATGGGAAGAGCCTAGAGGCTGGAGCACAGGCTATCTGAGGGAAGCATGTATCACTTAGACACTACAGATGACTGCTTGGAGAGACGTGGGTTCAGCTCACTAAGACTCTAGGGTTTGAAGAGGAACAAGTGCAAGTATGAAAAATCTTTTCCTTATTGCTACTGACACAGGAGATGTAGCCTAGGCTGGCCTGCAACTTCCTGTGTAGCTCAGGCTAGCTTTGAGTCAAAGCTATCCTCCTATCTCGGCCTCCCAAGTGCTAGAATTCCAGGTACAAATCACCACACCTTGCCACACATTTGCTTCAGAATATCAGCTCACATTAAGATTACAAACAAAAATAAAACAGTGTATGAGTTTGGGACTTCGAATAAGTCTATGGACTGGAAGTGGTCTCATTTGTCACCCATGGATTTGGTTCAGCAGGTAATATTAACACTGAATTTCACTCCTTATCCACTACATCCAGACAGAGCTGAGTGGGGTCAGGAGCCAAGATCCTTAAGAAAGTCATGTCAGCGAACAAAGAAGCAATGACCAACCCCCTACCCTGACACCAGATACTTTTGAAGAGGGCACAAAAGACTGTTTCTTGAATCTCATCTCTACTCCAGGAAAAAGTGGGGCAAAATCAAAGCAATCTGCTGATGCTCCAGTTCCCTTGAAACTGTAAGATTGAATTTTTTGTTGGATTTTTGCCTTCTATCTCTAAGTGGGAATCATTTATGTAAATATTTAATTGCTGTGGGTTTCTGTTTCTCCGTCTGAAAAACACAGTAACTGTAGTCATACCTCTAGTTTGTTTACTAATGTTTGTTAATCACTAGGAACAGGGATCTGATAGTGATTGACAAGGCTCTTGCATTCTACAAGTTACAAAGGGAAGCAGACAAAGAACTGTATTAGAGGTTATCACATCGTATTAGTGCTAGATGCTGAGGAGAAACAAGAGAGCTGGGAAGGTTAGAAGGAAGGTGGGTCAACAGCCTGGCAGGAATAAAGGAATGAGTAGATAAGAATCTATAAAAACCTGGATCCGAAGAATTAATAAAGGCTGTAATTTTAGGGAAAGCTGTATTTCAATAAAACTGAATGTTAAGACACTATCCCAACTTTCTGGTCTCTCTATGGGGCAGTAGCCTGAAGTATTCTCTATCTGTTGGGAACGAAAGAGGACAACAGACAGCTTCACAGCCCTCTCTTCTAGCTAACAGCACTTTTGGTAGGGGTGGTCACAATAGGTTAGAAGGGGAAGTAACCTTTGGCTGAAAGCTAGACCCAGCAGAGGCAGAGTCTATCTTCTTAGTCTTATTTGACTAGGCTACAAGGCAGGATGATGGGGAGGCTCTGACATTCAAGAAGCTGTGGCATTTTCATTAATTAAAAATCTTCTCACCGTGATACGAGACACAAAGGAGGCCAGCACCAAAACTGGGTTGCACTAGGCACAGACTCTGGGCTGATTCTCCTTCTAGTCATCTACTGAGTGCTACTGCGTAAAGGCAAAGCCTGGGATAGGGACCGAGGATCACAAACATGGCATCCTCGAGGCCCTTGTGTTTACATTTCAGTGCGTGGGACAGACACACCAACAAGTTTCATCCCAGAAGGAGTGGTGCCACCAGAGGGGAGCAAAGAGGGCTGTGGACACAGAGGGCACTTGGTGTAACTGGGGAGGTCAGGGAAAGCTTTCCAGGAATGGTACCCCAAATGGCATCCCCACTCACATGCACAATTCCAGAGATTCTACTAGAAGGCTGTCAAGAGCCATGCCTTCAGGCTGCACCAGCCTCCCAGAGTCCCCTGCTGCCCGATGCAGTGTCTGCAGAGCCAAACGCATCTTCCGCCACGCCTCATCCTCATCCGGGCGCTGCATCCGACCCTCCAAGACTCCTGCAGGGGCCTGCCTTCCTCGGCAGGCTCAGCCAAAAAACCAACTCAAAACTCTTTTGTCAGAGCAAGCTTAGGGCAAGCCACCCAGCCCCGGGTGCCACAACCCTCCCTGAGCAACTGTGGCCCACGCAACCCCCGCCTCTCCTGTTCTCTCTTTCGCTCAGAAGAAAGTGACCTTCCAGGTGCAAGCTGGAAGCTTGAGAATCCTCCGGTGTACTCTTAACTCTCACAGGATTCACCAAACTAGGGGCCTGGCGAGGGGCGGGGGCGGACAGTGGGGGGACACCCTACGGGACAGGAGGTAGGGAGGAGAACAAGGGTTTTCTCCTTGGCGGAGTTGTTCTAACAGTCTTTGGGGCAGCCTGCCTGTCTGCTCCAACTGTTCTGCTGGGTGGGGAAAGGGGGGAGGTCCCAGAAGGCAGATGCCGAGGTACAGCTGTTGAGGGTAGTGGCTGCAGACAGTGCTGGGAGAGGAACGAAGCTGCTGGGGGCGGGGGCGGGAGTGGGGGCGCACCCAGGCTGCAGCCCCGAGGTTCCAGCGCCCTGAGGTGATCTCTTAGGGGCCGGGGGAATCGGATGGGTCCGAAGGGAAGTGGGGGGCAGACAATCGGGCTGTGGTCTCAGGACCTACGCCAGTCCCAGCGGCCCGGATGGCCAGAACGTTTAGCTCCGGAGTAGGGGCTGAACACGGGTCACAAGAGGGTTGGCTGAGCTTTGATTCTGGAGAGGGGTCCAGCCTCCATTCCCGGCAAGGGGACTGAAAGCGTCTGCTCCGGACTTGGGATCTGGCCCCAGCCCGATAGTGTGTCCATGCCCAATCCCGCCCCACTCCCCGCTCCCGCTCCGGGGAGGTGAAAGCAACCGAGCAGTCGGAGTCCTCTTGCTCGTTCCTACCTGAGGGCCTGGAGCCAGCTTGGGCTCGTCCTCCTCCCTGGGGCTGTCGCGATCCCGCTCGGCAGGCGCCTCCGGGGGCCCTGCACCCGCTCCCGCTTCCAGGCTCGGCGGCGGCTGCGGCTCGGGCGCCTGGGGCTTCTGCAGCCCCGCGGCCCGCGCCCGCTCCCGCCGGCCCGCGCCGCCGCTCGGCCTGCTCCGCCTCCGCGTCATGCCGCCTTCCGCGCCGCTCCGCCGCTCGCTGGCTCCCCTCGCGCCGCCGCCGCCTTCACCGCCGCCGCTCCCCTCACAGGACAACAGCCAATATGGCGGCACCCGGTACCCCTCCCCGCCCGCTGCCAGCAGGTCAGAGGGCACGCCGAGTCCGCGCCGCCGCACTCGCCACTGAAGCCTCCTGCGCCATTTTTAATAAGGCCACTACCCGGCGTTCCGTCGAAGACCAGCCCAGGGGCGAGATCCTGCCCTGGGCACACGTCCTAGGCTACGACTTGCGGGAGAAACACTTGTGGCACTGTGATAGCGGGCCCAGTAGCTTAATGGACCGTTACATTTTGAGTGGATTAACTAATGTCTGCTGCGATACTTTCCCACTCAACGTCTGGCTCCTCCTTGCAGCCCTTGGAGGCAGGTACGAATTATTCTCATTTTGCAAGGGAGCAACGTGGAGGCTGCAAAATGACTACCCAAGGTTGCTAGATATCATCCAGCCACCGCCGAGGGGGCTCGTGGTCAGTTTGAGGTGAAGGACACCAAGGGAAACGTGCGTCTTGTAATGAGTCATTCACTGGAAGTCCCCGCGTTCTTGCTCGGGAGTACCCAGACCCAGCACCTTCTTGAATGTGGTGGGAAAGGTGGTCACTTAAATATATAATCACTACCAGTGTGACAAGAAATGGAACGATTAGGGCACGTACTAAGGCAATATTTTTTTTTTGGTTTTTTTTTTTTTTTTAGAGACAAGGTTTCTCTGTGGTTTTGGAGCCTGGCCTGGAACTAGCTCTTGTAGACCAGGCTGGCCTAGAACTCACAGAGATCCGCCTGCCTCTGCCTCCCGAGTGCTGGGATTAAACGCGTGAACCACCACCGCCCGGCGGGCAATATTTTTTTAAATAGTGGTATTGCGGCAGAGGACTTTAAGGACACTTAGAGAATCAGAAATATTTAACAGTTAAGCGTTTAATTATGAAAATGTCATCTCCACCCATTTTTGTGGGAGAGAAACATACAGGCACATGGAACAAACTTTTTTTTTTTTTAAGTTTCAAATGATGTCTGTTTTATGCTTTGACCAGTGGAACTTTGAAACTTCCTGGTAGTTAGATATGGAATTTATATTGATAGCATCAGCCAGGAGTGAATCTGGAACTTTAACTATGAAGAAGTAAATCAAAATTTAAAAATGATCATATTTTATTCATCTCATTTTATTGCTTGAAGTGCGTGTGTGTGTGTGTGTGTGTGTGTGTGTGTGAACACCACTTGGATGTATGTGGAGGTCAGAGGACATCAGTTCTTTCCCTCCAAACTGTGGCTCTTAGGACCATCAGGATTGATGGCAAGTGCTTTTATCCACCAACTATCTCTCCTGACCTATTTCTGGCTCTTTGAAACACTGCCTCATTAAGTAGCTGCCTTGACCTGAAATTCATTTTGTACACCAGACTGTCCTCCAACTTACATTGATGGTCTCCGACTTCTGCTTCCAAGTGTGTTCCTTACCCTTGGGTGCTACCCGGACAGACATCAGTGTCGCTATCAGATAATTAGAAGACTCCGGTTGATTACCGTCATAACCATTACGTCTTTAGTGTAGCCAGGATAAGGTGACCTTTAAAAAATGATAGACCCACCAGGAGTAGGAACCAAGGGAGAGGTTGGTGAGTTCAGAGTCAGAATTCGGTTTCTAGTTCCAGGCTAGCAGGAGCGGCTAGTATAACCCTGTCTCAGACAACCTAGGGAAGGGGACCTAGTTCAAGGGCAGAGTACTTCCTTGTCACACAGGAAGTCCTGAGGTAGTTCAGTGCTTCAGAGCTCAGAATTGACAGAACATTCTGACAAATTTCTTCTGATAGACTCCAGTTTCACGTGCTGCTGTTGAAGCGGACTGGCAGGTTTTGCTCTCTAGAGCAGTGCAGTCTCTGGAGCTATGCTTTGCCATTCCCAGACCTGAGCGGATGCCTGAAATCTGTAGCGTAGTAACCCCTCCACCTGTATAAAATGTTGTTTTGTGGGATAAATGCTATGGTAACGTATATGTTTCTTTTTAACTAAGTAAGCAAGGGACTGGAGAGATGGTTCAGTAGTTATGATCGTACACTGCTTTTGAACGACCTGCGTTCAAGTCCCATCATACACACTGGATGCCTCACAACCTCGTGGCCCCAGAAGGAGGATACCCACACTCATTTGTCCATACACACACACAGATACACACGTGTAATTTAGGGGGAAAAAAACAAAAACAAAAAAACAAAATAGCAATAACAGGAGAGTAAGACCAAATACAATTAACTATACTCTAATTAACTATACTATAATTAATTATACTATGCATTACAGTTACAAGCATCACTGCTCCTGTGTTTGGAGCCCTTCATGTAGTCAGACTTGTCTTTGGAGCGACAACTCACAAATAACAACACAGAGTCTTGATATTAATTATGAAAGCTTTGCCTTTAGCTTAGGCTTTTATCCTAATTACAACTTAATTAACCAGCGTTTATTAATCTACGTTTTGCCACGTGGCCCAGATACCTCTTCTCTGTACCATATGTCTGACATGCTCCAAGTCTCGTTGGTGTGATCTCAGTGCACAAGCCTAGATTCCTTCACCTCTCCCTCTCTCTCTCTTAAGTCCCACTTATCCTCTCCTGCCTAACTATTGGCCATTCAGCTCTTTAGTAAACCAATCAGAGGGAAGCTTGGCTAAGGCACATCTTCAGCTCAGCATACAAAAAGATTATTTCACAACAATGAAGACCAAGATTACTTGAGCACAAGTATTGTAATACCATGACAGTCAGTCTGGTAGCTGAGATGACAATTTAGTGACTGACAGGCCGGTGCTGTAGTTGGAAGTCATGACCTGTGTATGTGCTAGAGGATGAACAATAAGTCCTAAAATTAGCCAGGCATGGTAGCGCACACCTTTGAACCCAGCATCCAGGACAAAGGCAGGCAGATCTCTGAGTTCAAGGACAGCCTAGTCTACATAGTGAGTTCTAGGACAGCCAGGGCTAAATAGACAGGCCCTGTCTAAAATTAATTAGTTAATTGAGTGGTTAAATAGGTTAATAGATATGGGTCTATGGTTTGCAGTGTTGTACTGGTCCTGTTAAATACCTAAGGCTAAATAGCTTATATTAAAAAAAAAAAAGAAGAAGAAGAAGAGGAGGAGGAGAAGGAAGAGGAAAAGGAAGAAGAAGAAGAAGAAGAAGAAGAAGAAGAAGAAGAAGAAGAAGAAGAAGTTAGTAGTAGTAGTAGTAGTAGTCTGGCCTGGCATAGCAGGGTGTGCTTTTAATTCCAGAACTTAGAAAACTGAGGCAGAAGAATGTCTGAGATAGAGGCCAGCCTGGTCTACAGAGCGAGTTCAGGACAGCCAGGTATGGTGAGAGTTCCTGTAGTGATACTTTGTGTTCTGACAAACAAAGCTTGCCTGAAGATCATCGGGTGGAGCTAGCCACTAGCTTTTACCCCACTATCTGACCCCAGGTTTTTAGTATTAAGACTAGTTAGAATCAGTCTTCATCTGGCACCCAACGTGGGGCACAAACTCATGAAAAAGCCACTTCCCTGTGACTTTGCAGCTGCTGACAAAGGCCGGAGCTGCACATGGCCTGAGTCAACACCCTGTTGACTGGGTTCTCTTCCCCCCCCCCCCCACCCCAAACCCTCTGAGCTGGTCTGGGTTTTTCTGTTGTAGCCTCACTACAGAAAAACTCCACAGGTACTTGGGCTCCAAACACTGCTGGAGTTAGATCCTCACTATCAGTTGGGTCTGGATTTAGGCAGCTCCCGCTGCACGTGTTTCTTCCCCATAATCCCTTGTGTGCATTTTTCAGACAGTGGGCTCCTTCTTGTGGTGGGTTGTGGGCTTTTCCTGGACTCCCTCCTTGGGCTTCTGCCAAACTAAGTCACTGTCTTGACTATCGGCTCGGGCTTCTAAGGTTCTATGAAGCAGCGGTCAGGCTCATACTTCATCATCTTCATCTTCATTGTCAATAAATTAGGTCAGACAATTGGGAATTCTTAAAGGGGGGAATTTAAAAAAAGTTAAAAAGAGAGAACATTTTTCCCCACGTTGAAAAAATTGGAAACACTATTACAATGAAGGGAGTTAGGTCTCTGTGTGATTACACAATGAATGGTTTAAATGGAATGATTATATGAGAAGATAATTAACTTAGAAGGGATTTACATAATGTGAATTATAAACATTATCAGTTTGACTGTTCTTGTTTTACCCCTAAAAAAGTTGCTAATATGAGTGCCAAGATACAAGTCTTAGGAAAGCTTATTAAAACAGATCATAGAAATATCCAGATTTAGACAGGAGTTTAAAAAGAACCAATCTCAACATTGCATTATAAGGTTAGAGAGGAACGGTCCAAGGACTTCAAACAATCGGCCCTAATTTATCCAATCACCTTACAGGAACTGACAGACAACGGGTATCCACAAAGCTATGCAAGATTCCTATGGAAGTGTTAGATTTGAGGAGTTTTAAGGAAGTGATAGTCTCATATGGTATGCATTCACCTTTTGGGAAGCAGATGTTCAATTCAAGGTCAACTTGTAACAGAATTTTCAATCAAGACTAGAGAGGCTTGGTTACAGCAGTATTGGAACCTGGTACTCAGTTACAGTGGAGGACCTGGTGTAAAGATGAGGTTAGGACCGTTGAAGAATGAAGTAGGGTTAAGAGGTTTTGAAATCTCCCAAGACCGACTTCTTGGGGAGGGCATTTAAAGATGACTAGTAAGCTGAGCAGTGATGGCTCATGCCTTTAATCTCAACAGTTGGGAGGCAGAGGTAGGCAGATCTCTGAGTTCAAGGCCAGCCTGTCCTACAGAGCAAATTTCAGGGCAACCAAACTGTTACACAGAAACCCTGTCTTAAAACAAACAAACAAACAAATAAATACAACTAGTAAAATAGACACAGCATTCGGTATATTAACCTTATAGTATATATTTCAGTAGTATTAAATACATTCATGTTTGTGCAAGGCATTTCCAGAACTCTTACCATCTCACACTTAAACCCTAGGAGCATCTTCCCTGCTTCCCTGAGTCATGACAGTCAGTATACCAT